GTCTCTACCAAAAACAGAAAGAAATTAATTGGACAGCTAAAAATATATAGAAAAAAATTAGCCGGGCATGGTGGCACATGCCTGTAGTCCCAGCTACTTGGGAGGCTGTGGCAGTAGGATCGCTTCAGCCCAGAAGTCTGAGGTTGCTGTGAGCTAGGCTGACGCCACGGCACTCACTCTAGCCAGGGCAACAAAGTGAGACTCTGTCTCAAAAAAAAGATCAGAAGGCACATGTCTAGTCATCCCACTTTCAGTGATTCTAAAATTAATCAGTGGATTCAAAATCCTAATCCTTCCATAGTAATGGGAATCCAGAACTGTAAGCACAAAATTATCACTGTCTACATTAAGTCTTTCTCACAAGACAGCACACTCAGTGTATATAAATTAAAGATATAAAAAGTGACCCTTCTCTAAAACAAAAAATAGTATTCACTCAAGTCATCAAAGAAAGGAAACACGTAACAGCTCATCTTACTCCTAAACAAACCTCAATAAATGTTTTTGTTGATCAATATATTAAACAATCATTATAATTGTAAAAGGGGGTCAAAGGTAAAGAGTTCCAAAGTCTAGTTCCAAGCTTGTTACAATCCAGTATGTGTTCTTGCTTAATTCTTTTAATCTTATATGCTCATATTTGCCCATTTGAAAACAGAGATAATGTCGCCAACTTGGCATTACCTTAAAGGACTACAGGGAGAGTAAAATGAAATATGACAAAGTTAGGTTTAGCAAATAAAGATTTATTTTATTTATTTGTTTGCTTGCTTGCTTTTAAAGACAGGCTCACTGTATCACCCAGGCTGGAGTGTGCAGTGAGTGGCTTGATCATAGCTTACTGCAGCCTTGAACTCCTGGGCTCAAGCAATCCTCCTGCCTCAGCCTCCCAAATAGCTGAGACTGACTACTGCAGGGAGCCACTGTGCCCAGCTAATTTTTTACTTTTTTTGTAGGGGGCAGGGCAGGGAGAATGCCTCAGCTATATTCCCAGGCTGATCTCTAACTCCTGGACTCAAGCGATCCTCCTACCTTGGCCTCCCAAAGTGCTGGGATTACAGACATGAGCCACTGCGCCCTGCCAGAATCTACTGTGATTAGATTTTACCCAGAATAAAGGAAAAACACAATAAACTGAAAGTCAGAGAAGCCACCAAGGCCGGGCCGGGTGGTCACCTGCCCGCGTGCCCACAGGTTTGGAGCGCTCCCGGTGATTCCCTGCGCCAACACTAGGAGTTTATCATCCCATTTCACAGATGAGAAAACTGAGGCGCAGTGTGGTTAAGTACTGTGAATGTCCTGCAGTTGAGCAGAGACTTTATCATCCTTTGAATCAGGGTCCCGGATGCCACCGCCACCCGCTGGGACCAAGCTAAGTGCTTTGCTCGTGTCATCCCAGTAATTTACTGAATTTCAGCTATTTGCTTGAACCAGGGGTGGGGAATCTGCAGCCTCAAGGCCACATGTGACCTTCCAAGATCCCCAAGTGGGGCCCCTCTACCAAATCCAAAACTCACAGAACAAATCCCTTCATTAAAAGAGTTTGTTCTGTAAAATTTGGATTCAGTCAAAGGGCTAAAAGGCCGCAGTCAAAGATCCAGAACCTTTACAATTTCCAGGTGTCCCTAACGCCACTGGTCCTTCCCCCTCTCCCTGTCCTCTGTCCTTGTCTTCACCTGTCCCTTGCGGAGCCTCTCACTCCTCTGGGGACGTGGTGCCCAGGCCACTGAGAAAACGGAAACACTCTATTCTGCCTGGCACATAGTAGGTGCCCAATAAATACGCTTTGAATGAAGGAATCCATAGAAAATTCCCACCAGCACCCACCACCCACCTTGTGAAGTGGCTCCCAGCCCCTCCTCCTCCTGGGACTACCCCCTCCACTTGTCCACAAGTCCTTGTCCCTCAAGCCAACACCGGTCTGGTCCCCAATTCCGCCCTCTCACCCCTCTCCCGGGATCATTCCCTCAAACGCTTTTCCCATCTTACAACTAAAGCAAGGAAACAACAATCCCTCTCACGACCCCTAAAAAGACAAAAACAAAACAAAACAGAGAAGCCACCAAAAATGCTATAAACTAGAAGTTTGGGAAGCTACCTCAATGTAAATTTGAAGAGATACTATCAATAAATTAAAAAGAAACTCTGCCACTAGCCTATAGCAGATGTTAGTATTCTAACAATTCACTTAAAATTGGCTGCTACTATTTGATTGTTTCATTGAAAGCTACATTATACTAGATGTAGTTCCCGAACAAAAAGTCATATTAAATTACTTTTTTTTTTTTTTTGGAGACAGAGTCTCACTCTCTTGCCCAGGCTAGAGTGCCGTGGCGTGAGCCTAGCTCACAGCAACCTCAAACTCCTGGGCTCAAGCGATCCTCCTGCCTCAGCCTCTCAGGTAGCTGGGACTACAGGCATGCGCCACCATGCCCGGCTAATTTTTTCTATTTTTAGTTATTTGGCCAATTTCTTTCTATTTTTAGTAGAGACAGGGTCTTACTCTTGCTTAGGCTGGTCTTGAACTCCTGAGCTCAAACAATCAGCCCGCGTCAGCCTCCCAGAGTGCTAGGATTGCAGGCGTGAGCCACCGCGCCCGGCCTAAATTACATTTTAAATCATATTTAATATGACCCATCTTAAAATAAGACCAAACTAGTATTCTTGACATCACAACACTTAATTTGAGGACCCATCCCTCAAGCTACTGAATTCCTAACCAAATGTTAATCTAAAAGAGAAAAACATATAAAGTTTAATGTTATGAGTCACTGATTCCAATGACAAAGTAATTTTTAATACATTATATAAATTGAAATATATTCAGAATATATCAAAGCAACACCCCATTCCTGCAAGGATTAAACTTAATAATACTGTTCTGAAGATAAATGCGGTATAAAATATTCTGAGCACAAATCATTTGTTACCAAGCAAGGGACACTGACTGGAGAATCAGACTTCAGATGAACTTCCCTCAGCTCACCACCAAGAAAACCTTTTAACCAAACTTTGCATTTTGATGAGGGTTCTGGTTTAGTGAGCCATCAAATGACACTCTATGAGACTAATCTAAAATACACAAAGCTAATTACTCTGATTTTTGTATTAGAAATACATAAAAGCTGAGCAGTTTCTCTGTGCCACCTTCTCCAAGTAGGTTTTAAGAACTTTGAGGTTCCAAGGCCAAGGCAGGAGGACTGCTTGAGGTTAGGAGTTCGAGACCAGCCTGAGCAAAAGCACAACCCCCTGTCTCTACTAAAATAGAAAATATTAGCTGGGCAAGCACCTGTAGTCCCAGCTACTCAGGAGGCTGAGGCAGGAGGATCACTTAAGCCCAGGAGTTTGAGGTTGCTGTGAGCTAGGCTGACGCCATTGCACTCTAGCCTGGGCAATGGAGTGAGACTCTGTCTCAATTAAAAAAAAAAAAAAAAGGCAAACTCATCAGAAAGAACTCAAATTAACAAAATACTGTCTTGATGGGACTGAATGAGGAAGATTACCCAACAATATATTTCAATTATTTTTAATCTCAAAGAGCGTATTTAAAACATATACTGTGCCCTTACGAAGAAAAACCCACAATGAGACACAGGTTATAAGAGAATAGTTTTGTGTTCTGGCATACGGAAGAGGTGAGGGAAGGAGAAAAGGCTTTGGAAAAACTAACAACAACAGGCATAGATACTTAGATCTTAATTTTAAATATAGAAATTCTTACCTCCCACTGTAAGTGAGGCGGGATATTTCGTATCTGAAGTTTCCGAATCCTGCAGAAGAATTAAAATGTTTTTTAAAAGAAAAAACGATAAAAGCAAAAGACATTAATAGCCAACATGGAAGTTTAGAAA